AAAATAGCAGTATTAACATCAACAAACAGTGCAAACAATGCAGAAAAAAGCAGTATAAACAGACAGTAAACAATGCAGACAACAAAGGAATGTTCATTGAAATGAGATAAATAGTGATAAAAACAGAGTACTTAAAACTAGACACCTCTATGACTCTGTATAATCTGTACAATGTATATATACACAGGTATTGCACTGAGGGTTACTGAAATACCATACTGTCGTTGGTTAAGTGTTCATCAGAGCGACAGCCTGGGGGAAGAAACTGTCCCTGTGCCTGGTTGTCTTAGTGCACAGTGACCTGTAACGCCGTCCAGAGGGGAGGAGTTCAAACAGATTGTGTCCAGGGTGTGAGGGGTCAGCAGTGATCCTCTCCGCCCTCCTTTTGACCCATGCGGTGTACAGGTCCTCCATGGAGGACAGGCTCACACCAATGACCTTTTCTACAGTCCTGACTGTCCACTGATGTCTGTACTTGTCCTGTTTGGTTGCTGAGCCAAACCAGACAGTGATGGAGGTGCAGAGAACAGACTGGATAAATTCCTTTATAGAACTGTATCAGCAGCTCCTGGGGCAGGTCTCTGAGTCGAAGGATTCAGCCATATGCCAGACGAACATACAGTGCATGCCCAAATACACACATACATGTGTGTATATATATACAGTGCCTTGCGAAAGTATTCGGCCCCCTTGAACTTTGCGACCTTTTGCCACATGGCAACTGGTTTGGAAAGGGAAGGTAAGTTCTCATTAATCTTAGACTGACTGTAACAGAGAATAAAAAATGTAAGTATGCATTTAAAAAATCACTGGAAAATATTTTTACTTTCAATACAGATGCTTAATTCCGAGTTGAACAATTGTAAGGTGACAGTTTGCACAAGGGAACGTCTCATGGAGTGCAGAGGCACACTAGTTGCATGTACTGACTATTGAATTTACCGCTGTTTCTGAGCTTCATTATCTAAATAAAAACTTTTTTAACCTTCAGTGGAATGGCAGGCGGGACTCATTTACAGATCGTACTTTGACAACAGAAGCTGTAATAATGACAGAAGGACTATAGGCAGCAGAGGGTCATGGAGGATGTTGGTGTAGCTGAGTAGGGCTGTCGACAAATATTCAGTATTTAATTATATAATCAAATATTTGCAAAAATGTGATATTCAACTGTGAAAATTAATATTCGATTATAAAAAAAAAAAAAGCAGCTCTACCACAGCTGTCTGCCTCATGCGTTCTCATGTGAGCCTGCGCTGCTACCCTGAATACACAGCAGGGCAAGTAATAATTTTGACAGCGTTATAGCTGAGAGACATCACATCCTGTCCCAGTTTCACTTGATTTACGCTATAGCACAGTGTGTCCAATCTTAGTTGCTAGCGGTTCGATTCCCTTTCTTTGTAGTCCACATGTCAGTGTTGTTTGGCGAGACACTGAACCATGGTTGAGTGAGTTGGTTAGCATGGTTGAAAAGTCCTGTATATGTGAAATCCATTTACCTTAATTTTTTTTTTCTTGTTAATGGTTGCAGTGTTGGGCATTCAGAAATTTTGTCTGTGAACTGCTTACCCACCGTAATATAGGAGACAGTGACTAAAGCAAGTGTTTATACTATGCAAATAAAGAATCTGCAGTAAATCAGTTAGTGCAGGGTTCATGCATGTAAACTTACAAAACAGCTGGATTTGAACACAAAAGCAGGCAGGTTGAAAGAGGAATGAAATGATTCAGTTTAGCACACAGCAAGATATATGGACTTAACCCCAGCAAGGAGGAGACTGAGAGAGGACTTGCCACCTCTGAGTCACTTATACCCTGCTGCTGTCCTGTCTATTTGTCAGGCGTGGACTCATCATGGGACTGTGGAACTCCCACACCTCAGTGGGCAACATCCTGGGCTCTCTGATTGCTGGGTACTGGGTCTCATCCAACTGGGGTCTGTCCTTCATCGTACCAGGGCTCATCATTGCAGCCATGGGCGTTGTCTGCTTCCTGTTTCTCATTGAGCGTGAGTGCAGCCTCCTCATTGGCTAGAGAGCTGCAGTATGATAGTTAGCTGATTTGCTTAAATAAAGTGCACACATTAATGAGCTTAACCTTTTTCATCTGAGTGAAGTGTGATTCTGTTTAAAGTGCTAATTTTCTCACCAGTGATTTGGACCAAGGTTCTTTGACTATTCATTAATTACATAAAGAAGTAAGAGTAGTCAGCTAAAACAGCATGCTAAGACCAGCAGCCTCTTATTGTATGGCTTCACAGCTGTTATTGGAGCAGTATCGTATTAACCTTATGTCATCTTTTTCCCTATTCAGATCCAAATGACCTAAAAACTATGTGTGCTCACAATTCTTCCGCAGGCAAGACTGTGAGTACAGTGTTTTTTTTTGTCTTTGTTAGGGTAGATTACACTTCACTGGATGCATCAGATGACAAAAACAGGCTTAAAGAGTAAAAATCCAGGGAGTTGTTTGTTTTTTTTTGTTTGTTTGTTTGTTTTAAGTGTCATAACACTTCCTATGTGTGTTTCACCTTAAGCTGTGTTTAAAACTAGGTGGACATTGTGTGACTTTGTTGTGTTAACTCACACTGCACATTCTGTTGTTTCACCACACAGTTTTTTTTAAATACAGTAAATCCGGTTAATGAATTGGACAAATAAGGAAATATCAGAACATTTCTAAGTTCTTTACAAGTATACACCAGAAGCAGATTCTTATGGATGCCATTTTACTAGCCGTTAATCTGTAGTAACAGCAGATGTCACCTAGGACATTTATTTTAAAAAGATGTCCCATTTAGGAAAGGTTTCATTTGCAGTCAAACTCATTTTTTTACTATCCTGTCATGATAGTGACACAGCGGATGCAAAAGCCCAGTGGATGACTGTACATTGATTTGTCTGACTGTTACTGCCAGCTTTTACTTTGACTGATCTTTAGGGTTTGACTAGTTATTTATAGTGGGAATTTAATTTAACACTCTTAGAATGCGGTTAATAAATTATATAAATGCACCCTAGTATTTGTTCACTATAATTAGCTCACTAGTTTGCAGAAAGAGAAACCACCTATTAACGTCCAGTTTACAGTGTAAATGCAGCATTAGTGACGTACTGTGAATGGAAAGCACTTGGTGTGGTGCATGACAACAATCACTGTAGTTCAAAGTGTTTATTTGTCATATGCACAGTTAGGAAACATGTTTCCCTCTACAATGAAATTCTTACTTTGCCGTCCACATGAATGCCACAAAAATACAAGTGAAATATAAAGTAGATGAATAAGTAACACAGAATCTAAGGTACTTTAAGCAGCAAATGCAGCAATATAATAAAAATATATAAGAATATAATAAGAGAATGTATGCTGCATGGGAGCAGCATGTGCTGCAGTCAACAGTCAATGTGCAAACTGAGAATGTAAACAGTACATCACGTATTTCCTGGTAATAAACTCCTCAGCTGTTTAGGAGTCTGATGGCAGAGGGAAAGAAAGAGTTTTTCAGTCTAGTGGTCCTGCATTTCACACTTCTGAACCTCCAGCCAGAGGGTAGGGAGGTGAACAGTCCATGCTGGGGGTGGGTGGGATCTTTGAGGATGGAGGCAGCTTTCCTATGCACCCTGCAGTGGTAAATGCTCTGCAGAGAGGGCAGTGGAGTCCTAGTGATCTTCTCCGCAGTAGCTACAGTCTCCACTTGCATTACCTTCAAAAAAGCAGCTGTCAACTGTAGCCACGCACACACACACAGCCTGTTAAGAGCGAACACACACATTTATTTTCTTGTTGACTTACAAAAACGTATTGACAGCCACTGTGCCAGAGTCAAATACCTTGTGTGTTCAACATACTTGGCAGATAGAGATGATTCAGATATTTATTGCTGAATTTCATCGGCTTATAATTGATAAAAACAAAAAAGAAATGTATATTTGCAAGCCATGTTTTAATATTTACATCTTCAGTAGGAACCGGTGGACTTGTAGCTGAGAGCCACAGAGGGTATTGAGAGACAGAATAGCACACTGTTTGTTTGGGTCTTTTCATGAAATTTGTTGACAAAAAAAATATAGAATAGCACCAACCGCATCCTTTAATGCCAGAAAAACTGAATATTTTATGGGAGGTGTGAATTTTAACGTGATGGTCTTTTCAACCAGGTTCCTACCAAGAGTTGGAATGGAGTTAATGAACGCACTGAGGTGTATTTGCAATACAAGGACAAAAAAACCCAGGTGTGTACATGCAATGCTGCCGTCTACACTTGTCAGTCATACACATCTTTAAAGCCCCTGAAAACATTGCTTCACATATTTTTTACTCTGTAGTATAAAATGTTCATTGCTACTTAATCAACAATCAGAGTTAAAAGCAAGCATTTTAAAATTTATTTATTAAGGGTTTTACACTTGGAACATTGGTTAGGTCTCTTTATCAGGATTGTTTGGGTTTGATCAGATGTGAATTACAGTGACCAAAAATTTCCACAGAGTGTTATATTCTGATTCAGATGTTTCTAAACCTGATTGGTGGATCAAAGTATGCAGCATCACCTTTTCCAACTGAAAGAAGGACAGAAACCCATCATGCGAAATAACAATCAGTTTGAACTTCAGCAGATAATACAGTGTTCAGACAGGACATAAAATCCACAAACTGTTTTTTTATTTAAAAAAAGTTGGATCTCTTGTTGTTTTGTTTAGTCCCACATAGCAGAAGCAAGTTGATGTAGGTTTTCTAGCAGTATTTTTAAAGAGCCCATGGCTGCTCATTTTGCTCATTTCCAGCCATTTAATGTTTAATCTTAGGTACCTCTAGATTAGCTTTGCACCCCTTATAACTCCAAATAGTCTATTATTGTTTCAGAACAATAAAACCTGATAGCCTCTTCCTAAAAACAAGAGTTAGATAGTTCATGAACGTGCACATCTCCTGCTGCAGGTGATGTGTAGAAATCTGTTTCCCCATCGAAATGTGTTGCCCCTAACCTGATTCCTAACATTATGCTAATCGGAAGAACTGAACAGGAGAACAACTGAGGAACACTTTTTGATACAAGACCGGTCAGGAAGCCAGGACAATGCATAAACAAAAAACACGGACAAATAAGCTACGTTTTCGACAGTGACAGTATCTCAAATCCTACCTGACATGTTTCAGCCAGAATATGAAAGTGGACAGTACGATGAACCGCTGCAGCATTAATTATTGTGAATGTCTCCTCCGTAGATAGGTAAACAACAGTGTATGTACTGATGAAAAGAGATGTGTAACACCAAACAAAGCAGGTAATTGAGAAACCGTATGTTTTAACTGGCCTAATGCAGACATAGTAACTTCTCCAGCATTACAACAATTAACAATTCTCTCTAAAACAGCCAGTCCATGTACAGGAACATTCCCAGACATGCAGTAAGCTCAGGCCCTGTATTTTTCTCCACATCCTCTGGTCACAGTGCAGCAGAAGGAGGGAAAATATATCCACAAAACTGCGTGCAAAAAAAAATTCTGCTTTTAAAATGGAACTGGTAGATGTCAGGCAATTTCTCATGATTGCACAACTGCCTAGAGATTATGACCATTCAAGGAAATTGTTAAATTATCACGCAACACTTTACTTTGTTAGGAAAAAAAAGTCTTGTGAGTGAGAGTTTGCGAGACGTGTATAAACAGAGTTTCTTCTTCATTCTTCTACTAGAAAACAAGGAAAAGCGCCGTGGGACCTTTAAGTAAATGCCACACGTTCAAGGTGCTGCCATATTGCACTGACGATAAACAATGCCACACAAAAAAACCCAACCAAAATAATAGTTCAGCCAGGTGGTGCTGTAGTACGTTTTAATTTAACATGTCATTATAATCCATTTAGGTGTTATACAACGATAAGGAAAGTGTTCAAAACAAGGTCGGTTCCTTCAGAGCTTCTAGGTCTTTCATGGTGGCTTCAGCTAGAGACAGATCTGTCAGATGTGGTGAGATGCTGGGTGAACCCTGAGGAATCATTGTTTTGGCTGAATCCAAATGTCCGCCATCTGGACCAGTGGACTGGGCCTTGTGGACATAACAAACATGCTCATCATCATCAAGTCAGTGATGGCAGCTTGGTAGAAAGAGCGTTTATATCCCCTTGCAGACGTGATAAATTATGCTTTTTTTATGTGGCCAGCCCTAAGAAGCCAGGAAATTTGGATTCAGCCTCAGGGTTCCCTGAAACTTCTGTGAATGATAATTGAGGTTGGATTACCACATGGAATTGTTCTTTTCAAACTTCATAATGACGGTTTTACTTTTGAGTTATTTAATGTATTAGTCTATGTGGTAAACCTTGTTTTCCTGAATGAAAGGGGGAATGGTATAATTGGTTATTTAGGGAATGAAGAAATCTTTGTCTTGAAATCAGTTTGGGTTTGTTATCTGTTTCTTTGTATTTATTGTCACAGTTTGCACAGCATTATATGCATCTCAAAGTTGCTGCATCACTCATTATCAAAATATTATCAAAAACTCATTTAAATCACAGACACATTGGGGAAAAAACAGCCTGAAGTATTGTGAATGAGGTGGACTGGGTGTGTGGTGCCATTAATACCACAACCCGTAGTCATTGCCTTCATTTTTCTTCTCCTCTCTCTTTCAGAGTTATGACACAGAGCTGCTGTTGCCCAGGGACAGTGGGTACGTGCCTGTGCAACAGGTCGTGGTGGTGAAGAGTGAATCAGAGCCGTCTGCCATCAGCTTCATGGGAGCACTGCAGATACCAGTCAGTTACACTTACAAAGGGACACACAGAGATCCACCATTCAAAGCACTTTACTTTCTGGTTATGAGCATGGAGTTCTTTAGCAGGTCACAGCTCGATGTCTCTGAGTAGCACAGATAAGGTTTAATGCCATTAGATTACACTGAGGTAGGGGTGAGACAGGGTTTTGGCTGTTGATCTGTGTGTGCCGTGCCAGCATATAGATCTGTATGCTTCAGAAATAATCCTGCTTCTTATATCAGCAGTCACATCATAAATAAACACCAGTGATCCAGTTCCACTGGGCGCCATACATGCCCATGCCATAACACTGCCTTCAGCATGTTTCACAGATGATGGTGCATGCCTTGGATCATGAGCCCTGCCTTCTCCACACACTCCTCTTCCTGTCATTCTGATGATCTTTGCGTCATGTGCTCAAAGGATGTTGTCCCAGAACTGTGCAGGCCTTTTTATTAGATGTTTAATATGTTTGATCAAGTTTAATCTGGCCTTTTTGGTCTTAACTGTAGACTTTGACAATGATAAGCCGACTTCCTCAAACGTATTCCTGACTTGCGTAGATGTGGTGAATGGTTTGTTCTTCACCAAGGAAAGAATTTTGTCATCATCCACTTTGTCTTGCGTGGTTTTCCGTGCCATTTGGTGTTGCTGAGATCACCAGTGTTTACCAAATTGTTGATTTGGCTGCTCTTAATGTTTCTGCTTATAGGTTTTTATGGTTTTTATAGTTTTTTTCTTATTATGGCCTCCTTCACTTGCATTGCCACCACTTTGTTCCAATGGACAGCTGCAAATACAAATTCAACACTTGGAATCAGCTCATGAAACTGCATCTCAGTCAGGTGTCCAGTTACTTTTGAGCCTCTGATAATGGAGATGTAACTATAATAATGACTAACTGTTAAACTGTTAATGTGATATTTTTGTTAAACCCCTTGAATTAAAGCTAAGGGTGTACACTAAAATAACATCTTGACTGATTCATTTCTAATCCATTGTGGTGGTGTACAGAGGCATGAAAACTGTGTCACTACCCAAAAATCCATGAACCTGACTGTATATAATTTGGGCCATTGATTCTTTGGGTATAATGTTGTACCAACTGAGTTAATTGTTGAGATCTAGGAACATGTCAACCTAGCTAGGGAAAAAAATCAGAATGGTCAAGAAACATGAACAGTCAGATGACCAGATCAGTAAACAAACCCTCAGTGTAGCCACACTTGTTTTACAGAGAAAAAGAAGGAAACGTGTACACTCATCATTACCCAGTCTGTTGCAAACATCCATCACAGTTTTAATTGACTAAATTACTTATCATACAGTATAAATACCATGCATCTCTCCATCTAGTTCAGTACACACAACCACAATCATGGCAGAAGACTGCTGCTGTGACAGTTGTCCAGAAGGTGATCACTGACACCTTCCACAAGAATCCACAGAAGGTCATTGCTGAAAGGGCGGGCTGTTGGTGCTGTATGGAAGCATTGTCATGGAGGGTTGGGAGAAGGGAAAAGGTGCACAGGCAAAAGGGATGATGGCACCTTTAAGACGGTGAGGCAAAGCCGATTCAAGAACCTGGGAGAGCAGCAGTTTCAGAATGCAGTCTTCCTGCATCAGCGCGGGCATCATTCGGTCACAGTAAATCTACCATGCAGGGAACTGTGTATTGACGTATATGGTGTCTGTCTTGCCAGGGAGTGATTGAGTTCTCTCTGTGTCTGCTGTTTGCCAAGCTGGTCAGCTACACCTTCCTCTTCTGGCTGCCACTCTATATCACTAAAGCAGGTGAGGACCTTTCAGAATTACAACATTATTTCCATTATTGTTCTTTACTTTTGTCTGTTTTTCCACAGAATTATAACCAGTAAAATCAAATAATGTCAGAAAATGATTATTTCATTGAATCTTTAATGCATAAAACTATGGGCCTGTTGTGTTCTGTTCCAACCAAACAAGCATTCATTTTCTACCGCTTAGTCCCTGAATGGGGTCACGGGAGCCAAACATGCACACACACACCTATGGGCAATTTATAGAGACACCAATCAACCTAAGCTGCATGTCTTTGGGAGGAAGTCGGAGTACCCGGAGAGAACCCATGCAAGCACGGGGAGAATATGTAAACTCCACCCAGAAAGGTCCCAGGTGGGGCCCGAACCCGTAATCTTCTCACTGTGAGGCAACGGTGCTAACCACTCCACCACCGTGCTGCCGCAGTGGTTAGCACCACAACCAAACACTGCAGCCTTAATGCTTCACTGAGACTATGTGATGATGAAAATAAAGAAATATTTAAACACAGAATACCATATGTCTGTAGTTAGATCAAATGCAACCATTCCAAATGACACATGCATCGTGTTGTACACATTTACTGCATCTCTGAACACTTTCAGGTGTCCTCATATAAAATGGAAGGTTGTGTGTTTGAACAGTCAGCCAAGCATCCTTAAGGACTTGGCCCCATATTTATCTAGCGTCTCAGGATCACTCACAGGAATCCTGTTGAAAGTTTGGGAATAAAATTTTAAAAGAATCCTACCTCAGAGTAGGACTTAGTTTTTCTGCTGTCCTAGCCTCACTTTCAGCAAGGAGAAATCACTCTCCTTGAAATGAAACACGATTATACAAATAAAATTTTTGTCTGCCCTCACTTGACCACTCGATCAAGGATCATGTCCTCAAATGTCCTTATCGGGTCCTGGGGAGAATGTTTTAATGTGTGTGCCATCAATGACTCCAACAAATCCAGGGAAACCAGCGATTTGCATAAATGCAGCTGGTTTTTATCTCATTCAGACTGTGTGTATTATCAGTGGAGCTGTAAGAGTGATCAATCTTAATTTTTTATGGCTGAAACCGTATCCTGTAATGAACTTGATGTCATTAAATAAAATATGTCTCCTCCTGCGGGCTCTGCGGGCTTGGCTCTGCCTGAACACCACCTCCTGGCAGGTCCTAGCCAGTTAGAACACTGGAGGATTGGAGGAGCTCTCCTACATTTTGGTGGAGATAAGAGGGAATTCCTACATTATGAATGTGGATAAAATCGCTCTGCTTCATGTTCCTGAAAGAAGGACCAAAATGTTGACACAGACTTGAAGGGGACAAACAGTGCGTCCACTGACGTCTGTACATCTTCATCACTTTGTGCTCTTGGAGAGTGAGCTCTGCTGCCGGTTCCATAGTATCTGGCAAATGGAGTTTTCAGTAAAGAAAACCTGTGTGTATTTATGCTTGCATGTGTGTGTGTGCATGTTTTAGCTCACCTTGATGCCAAGAAGGCTGGAGATCTCTCCACCCTGTTTGATGTTGGAGGAATTGTGGGTAGGTGCACATTTTCCTCTCATTTTGAGTGAGTGAGAAAGAGAGAGAGAGAGAGAGAGATGGATGTGTAGGTATGTGTGTGCGTGCATGTTCCTTCTTTCTAAATTTGCATACTGTGGATACTTAATTACTGAATGATGACGCTGATATTTTTATGGCTCCCTGCCTTTCTCTTTTGTGTGTGTGTGTGTGCGTGTGTGTGCACATGCACAGGGGGGATCTTGGCGGGAGTGATCTCTGATAAACTGGGGAAGAGAGCCACCACCTGCGCAGTCATGTTGCTGCTGGCTGCTCCTACAGTAAGTGACCACTACACAGTCATCCTGAAAATGTCTCGCTGTGTCCTGGAGTTACCTGAAACCAGTGCATATCCCACAGAGTCAAAGCTTCAAGCCCAGTTTAAGTTCAGAAGTTAAACTTTTGAAAGGACATTTACTGTTTATGTGTACTTTTCAGAATATGGATATTTCTGTATTGTAAATCCTTTTTGGTTGATCTTAGGAAATATTCTAATATTCTCCGGTACTGGATTTTTGATTTTCATGAGCTGTAAGCTGTAGTAATCAAAATTAAAACAAAGAATGGCTTGAAATATCTCACTTTACCTGTAATGAATCTGGGAGATGCATTGAGCAGAAGGCAGAAAGTGTTTGGAGCTAACAGTCACGTTACTTTGCAGTGCTTTAAAGTCTCCAGGCTTCCACTTGCATCTGGCTCTTAAAGCAAACACTGTACTGAAGTTAAATTTGTGTGTTTGGTGGCAAAGGAACATAGAGATGTCACGGTGTTTATGATGCAGTGCGCACATTTTAGACACTCAAAGTGGAGATTCTTTCATACAGAGTTGCAGTAACAGAAAAAAACTCTAAACCCAGTTCATATTTGTTGTGAGTGCCTTTTATGTTGAAAATAGTCAGTATATTTGCAGACAGAAGAACCTACAGCATTTTGTTCCTTTGTGGATGTTACAGCAGGCGTCCCAGTGTCCTGGGACCTGGTTTGTCAGGTCTGGGGCCACTCAAATAACCCCTGATGGTATTTTGTGGATGGATAAGAGTGTTTGATGTGTTCATGGTGCTGTACATTTTAGGGCACAGTGTTGACAAATTAGATTCAGATCATCTCATTTCATTTGAGGTGAATGTAATATCAGGGCGTTAGTTAAAATAATGAATTGTAATTGAACATGTTTTTGTCTTGCAGCTCTATGGCTTCTCCATGATCAGTGAGCTCGGTCTGGGCCCAACCATCGGTAAGAGCCTAATCTCACTCCTCAGCGTAGTCAGAGCTAGCGTCGAAGGATTAACTGATGACTTAATTAAAAAAAACACTCTTCAGCGTTTCAGTTTTGAGAAATGATGAATCAATCATGATAAAAACTACCAAACATTTTCTGATTATAGCTTCTCAAATGTGCAGATTAGCCTGCTTTTCTATGTTACGCCATTTTATACTGAATGTGTTTGGGTGTTTGGGTTGACTGGTTGATTATTTCATCTTTTATGATCATCAGTGGCTTGTTGAGTGCAGATGCTGTGGCTCAACTCCTGACTTAGTCATTCTCTGTGAGCTTTTGATGGTCACCATCTGCAGCTCATCATCCTGATAATATGCTGAAGGGCATTTGGAAATGTTAACTTGATAGGGTGTGATGCGGCAAAATGTACTGTAAGGTACATCTACAGATGCAGAGCAGCAACATTAGGTCTGGTCTATGATTATCATTTGCTCCAAATATAAAACCTACATGCATATATTTTCATCTTTGAGAAATGCAAGAGTATAATGAATTTGTGTGGCTGTGGAAGCTCCATTATTGAAAACCAAAATATACAGTCATGGCCAAAAATATCAGCTCACACTGTCCGTCGCCACCTGAATGACAAGGGACGCTATGGTAGCAGACCCAGGGGCCCCATTGCTGACATAGACATAAAACTACCAGACTGGAGTTTGTCAAAACTGACCTGAGGAAGCTACAGTCCTTCTGGGAGAATGTCCTGTGGACAGATGAGACGAAAATAGAGCCTTTTGGTTGAGCACATCATTCTGCTGTTTCAGAAAATGAAATGAGGTCTTCAAAGAAAAGAACACGTCCCTCCAGTCAAACATGATGGAGGTTCACTGATGTTTTGGGGTTGCTCTGCTGCTTCAGCCTCTAGATGTCTTGACTGTGTATATGGCTTTATGACATCTGAAGACTACCAGTGAATTCTGGGGCACAACATAGGGCCCAGAGTCAGAAAGCTGGGTCTCCATCAGAGGTCATGGGTCTTACAGCAGGACAATGACCCAAAGCAGACTTCAACAAGCACCAGAAATGGTTTCAGACAATGAGCCGGAGAGTTGTGAAGTGGCCAGCAATGAGTCCAGGTCTAAATCCCATAGAACAGCTGTGGAGAGATGTCAGAACATCAGCCGGGAGAAGGAAGCCTTCACATCTGAGGCCTGGAGCAGGTGGTAGAAGAAGAGGGGTCCAAAACTCCAGTAGAGAAGTGGAAGAAACTCACTGATGGTTACAGGAAGAGACTGATTTCAGTTATTTTGTCCAAAGGATGGGCTGCCAGATATTAAGTTGAGGGTGTCAGTAAATTTGTCCTGTCCAGTTCTGTGTTTAATGGATCAGATTTGACTTTTTTTCTGTTTTTGTGTTGTTCCAGTGCAGACAAAAGAAATAAACATGAGAATACCAAAGAATTTGTGATTGCAACAATTTACTGGGGGAAGGGGTGGGTTATCTGACAGAAACGCAGGGTGCCCGTATTTATGGCCATGACTGTAACTCACCCAGTGTATGTTTCCCAGGTATGCTGCTAGTATGTGGAGGACTAGTCAATGGACCATATTCCCTCATCACAACTGCTGTGTCTGCTGATTTGGTGAGCATGTTTAACCCTAGTCTAATTCCACTTTAACTATATTTGTAACTATAAAACGTGCCCCCTCTCTCATCTTTTACTTCCTGTCTCTTTATACGTTTGACCCTAGGGGACCCACAAGAGCCTGAAAGGCAACGCCAAAGCATTGTCCACTGTCACTGCCATCATCGATGGCACGGGATCTGTAGGTCAGTACCATTGAGCAGTTATTAGACACAATAAAGTTACCAAAGTGTAGAAACACCATGTGACATCATATAATTCAACCAACGCCAAAAGAATCAAAAGGAAGCCACTTAATAAGGCTGGTGTTAACCAAAAGGATCCTTATAGTCAACAAATCCCATGAAAACAAACTTTAGGATCAGGCTGAATTACTGTCAGATTGGCTGGCATTTCTCTTGTTTCTCAGTTCAGTTTAACATTTTTCATGAAATGTAAGATTCATCTGAGATTCATCTTGCCCCAGAGGACCATAGATCATAAAAGTTAAAAGATAATCCACATGCTCAGGCGATTGACCCTGTTCTTGTTTATGCTGTTAGGTGCAGCACTGGGCCCTCTAATGGCTGGCTTGCTGTCTGCAGGCGGCTGGGATCGGGTTTTCTACATGCTGATGACGGCTGACTTCCTCGCTCTGCTGGTGAGTGCTTTGAAATCCATAAAGAGTAGGTACAAGAAGAGTTATCATTTTCAAAGCTGCCCCAAACAAGGCTTTTACAGTATGGTAAGTGGTGTTTTAAATCACTGTGTGTCTCATGGTGACGGAGCCACTGAGAATTATCCCCAACTCTTCCTCTCAGAGCTACAGGGCGTTGTAGCCTCTTTTACCAGATCGCTGTTGGAGTCTGTCACCTTTGCACATACTCATTTACATGCACACACAGATCCAAATCTAGCACACCTCACACACACTCACACCCAGGGAAGATGAGAAACAAAACACAGACTGCAAACACAATACAACCACAGTCGTAACATCACCACCACAACGTAGTAAGATGAAAACATAACAGTTATTGTGTGTTTTCAGTTTGCTCAGCTTTTCTCGTGTCACCAAAAATCTATTAATGTAGCTTTAAAAGCAGCTGGTCTTGGTTTAATTTGGTTTTTTATGCTAGCACCATATAATAAAATGACATTTCAAATAGTTGAGAAAATAAAAGCTGTTGTACAATAAAGCTAGTTACTGTAATAAATGGTGTTGTGTATGTATGTGCAGCTTTTACTCAGACTTGTGACGAAGGAGCTGACCTCAACTAAATCCCGTCCCATCTCGGCTGCAGAGTAAGTCCTGCATTTGTCCTGTTTGCTTTTTCACTCAATATCCTGGTTTTAGTGGCTGTTGCTTGTTTTACACACTTTCTCAAAGATGCACGTTGCAAATCACTTTGTTTTTATTGTCACAGCTGTTTTGTTGGTTTTTTTTATACAGTTCACGAGAAACTAACTATAAACACATACTTTATACATAGAAAATTAGTAGCAGTGTGTATTTTTTGACCATTACTAGATGCATACAGCAGGATCACAATCAAATTAGAATAGAGTGAGACCCAACTATATTAACTAAATGAGCTAACAGAACGTACGCTTAATCTCATGTGAGTTTTGTTCAAAGGTCAAAGTGTTTATTTGTCACATACACAGTTAGGAAACGTGTTTCCCTGTACAATGAAATTCTTACTTTGCCGTCCACATGAATGCCACAAAAATACAAGTGAAATATAAAGTAGATGAATAAGTAACACAGAATCTAAGGCACTTTAAGCAGCAAATGCAGCAATACAATAAAAATATATAAGAATATAACAGAATGTATG